TATACTAGAGCTCATGCATGAATGTAATATCAGATGAACTACTGCATTTGACAATGTGCAGGATAGAGCAGAACTCACTGCGTGGGATACTGTATCTAACAAAGCAATGCACTCAACTTGACCTTCCGCTTGCACTGCGACGAATGAACCAGAAGTAAAGCCAAGTGCAACTTCAACTGTTTTGATTTTTAACTGTACTGGTTTCTTTTTTTTTTTTTTTTACTTTTTGACATTTCAGTTTAGCTTCCCCAAACTCAGTCTGACTGTTAATAAGAAAATCATTCTTAAATATACATATATATATATATTTACCTTGTTTACTAATTAGCCATAGGTAGAATACATTTCTATCAACGTTTCTCTTGACATGAACATTTGAATCTAAATGAGTATTCTGGCAAATTATATTTTTCTTCCATCACGGTTCATAAATAGACAATTAATTTAATTGTGACAGATATAAACATTTCTACAGGTGGGATTTTCAACACTGATTAGTAGCAGTGCTATTTTAGTATCATTCAGATACTGTTATAGGTTTTATTAATATTTAGAACTTGTTTTTATTTTTATATTTTCTTAAAGTTTTAGTAATTTTGTTGTGTTTTTGTCATTATCTTTTTTTTAAATATATCTATTTAATTTTTAATATTTTTTATTTCAGTTACTATATATATAATTTTAGTTCACCAAGTTAAACTAAATAAAATGAAACTAGCTAAAACTAGTTGGTTTTTAAATAGTTTTAATTTTTATTTCAGTTAACATTTATTTTATTTCAAGTAATAAAATATTTACAATAAGTGTTTATTATTAGTTTATAATAGTAATAATAACAAATATCTATAATAGTTTATTTCATTTCAAGTTTTGTATGGTTTTAGTTTTTGCACACTGAATTTATTTTCATTGCTAATGGTGCTTTGCACCTTTTTACGTTTGTCCTAAAACGTGATCCTAAATGAATACATAATCCATAAGTAAAGGTGCAACGTGACATGTTTCAGTTAACTGAGACAACTGACAAGGTTTTCAATCATTCTTCAACTGCTCAAAAGCTGCTATAATTCAGTTGGCCTCATCTATAAACATTGTCATCTCAAGTGTTGAAGGACTTTCACCAAGTAGACCGTTGACACAGACTTGAGCATCTCAAACTCCCCGTACTGCTCTCAGGTATATCATCAGGGGCCAATGATTCACATTACTGTCTCCAGTGCCTGATTTTTCAAGTGACCCATTACACGGTGGCAATGGAAAATCTGAGATGATGGGAATCCCCACAAAGAGTTAGATAATCAACAGCATCATTCAACATCAAGTAACACAAAGAAGAAACACACAAATTATGTGGACACATGAACACTACATCCAAATTTGACTGTGGAGCATTTTAAAATATATGGAGTTAGCCCTCCTTTTGCAGCTATAACAACACTTGATGTTAGCAACTAGATGTTGCAGGGATTTGCTCCCATTCAGACACAAGAGGTCAGGCAGTCAGCCTTCTAATTCATACCAGTGGTGGTTCAGGTCTGGGCTTTATGCAGGGCAGTCAAGTTTTTTCACACCAGGCTAAGTAAATAATTTCTTTATCTACCTCGGGAGACTGTGAAGCTGAAACAAAAAAGGTACGACCCATGTTTGATAATGAGATTCATGGCTGCTTGATTTTTTTTGCACAGACATCTAGAATAGCCAAACCCTTTAATTATAACAGGATGTCTAAGTACTTTTGGCCATGAATGCACATGTACAGCCCCCAAAATCACACCACACACATAAAACCGGCAACACATTTATGTTAATTAAAAATAAATAATTAAATAACTTGCCACTCAAGACTCTCTCCTCTAATGAAAGGTACCACACTCTTTCTAGCTGCATTAAAATTCTGCTTAAGTGCCACTTGGCTGACCTTGATCCAGTACCACGCGACGCCTGATCTCATCAGATCTTCACGGCTCTAGCAGACCCAGGGAGATGACCTCAAATTCAAGAGGCAGAATTACTGATACCAACAAAGCCAGGTTTATTCTCTCCATCTGACAGGAGGAGGAGATTAGACCCTCATGTCAGTGCATGGGGTCAGGGACAAGGTGCACACTGTATATGGAGATGAAAATAGCAGGATATTATGATTAGTATCTACCTGAAAATAAAGACATTAATTTACAGATGGTTAAAAGAATAGTTTATTAAAAAATAAAAAACTGCTTAAAATGTACTCACTCTCAGGCCATCCAAGATGTAGATGAGTTTGAGTCTTTATCGATTGGCATTACATCACTTATACTGTGAGCAACAACTTCCTATATCAGTAAAAAAAATGTTTTTTTGTTACTTAGTGGAATTTCATTTTACTTATATTTGATATGCAAGACACTTAAAAAAAACTGTTTTCACATTTTGCCTCTAGAACTGACTTGTAAGAATAAAATCAAAGTCTTGTATTTCATTTTCCTTTGTGTCTGTGTTTAGCATCATTCTTCTTTTAATCTTATAAAATTACCTTAGATCTTAAAGGGATAGTTCACACAAAAATGAAAACTCTGATAGTATTTACTCACCATTATGTCATTCCAAACTTGTATGACTTGGAAGGAACAGAAAAGAAGATATTTTGAATAATATTTGAATAATATGTATTTATCTTTTATGCAATAAAGGCCAGCAATGTTGGATCCCATAGAATTGAATTTTATGGAAAACATCTTAAGATATTTTTGTGCTTCACAGAGAAAGTAAGTCATAGAGGTTTGGTGACTCACATGACTGTGAGTAAATGATGACAGAACTTTATTTTTTTTGGTGAACTATCCCTGTAATTGTAACTGATGCTCCTGCTCTAGGATATGTCACATCAATGTAATACTTTAATTTCTCATTCTACCTTTTGAATCGGGTATTTCTAAAGGATTTCATGCACAATTTTTACAGTATCTCACATCATCATTCAAAATCTTATTGCACATGGATGTGCCAATGTCAAAAGAATGACTTATTCTGTTTTCTCTTATTGAGAACAAAGAAAGCAGACATTCAGAAAAGTGCAGATGGCACATCTGACAATATCTCCATTCCATCAGCCAGATTATTTCCTCAGACGAGTGACAGGAGAGAAACCTTCTCCAAGTCCTAAGAGATGAGACCACTGAGTCAAACAAGACAGCAGGAATATCTAGAGACAACTGATACAGGCTGTCGGATTGTTAAATTAGAAGTACTTGGCATCTACACACATCCCCTATGGGAGAAAAGCTGTTCAAGAAACCCATCAAATATACAAGTGAAATCAGAAACCTAATGGCCAAAGACTGCTATATGCATCCACAAAATAGCCTTACAGTTAAGATGTTCAAAAATATATGCAATAAAATGTTGCTTAACTGCTCTAAGAACACAATTACATCTGGAGAGATTTCATTAAACTACATGCTTTACATGCATCCAGGGGTGAGCTAAAATGCAATTGAATAAATGCATAAATTAAACGTTGGTTTATAAACATGCCACATGTATTATTATCATACTAATACAAATCTGTAATTTTTTTTTTTTTAGAACAAGTAATTCATTTCAGGTTAAGTCTAAGCAGGGCTGTCAATCTATCTATCAATATCTATTAATTCTATCTGCAATAGTTTTAAACTGCTGGCCTACTGTAGACTTTTGTCTCTGTATTTCAGTATCTTGCGTCTTGCATTTTAAAGATGCTCTTTCAAGTTCATGATTGTTTTTTTAACACAATTTTTTCAAAACAATTAATTGCACTAACATGTTAAACCGAAAGGCCTGATTATAATATTTTATGATTCACTTGCATCATTTAATACAGTAATAGCAATAGATATGCTAATAGTGAATAAATGCAGTTCTATTAACAAGCTTCTTGACATTCAAGCCTTTTGAATTCATATGCAAATGACTTTATCAATACATTCAAGCATGGTCATATTTACTAAATATATAATGGAAAACGTAATAGTGCGATAGTTTGTGACCTTTAATACATCTCATATTTGAGTGGTTATATATATGTTCAGTCCATTATATTAATTATGGAATTATGTACGAGCAGTGACTGGCTCCCTCAAGATAATGTTAATTAGCATTATAGTTATGTGTTGAAAGGAACAATGACTAATATGCAGCAGTAAATTTAGCTGTTGCTGTGTGATTATGGAAATTACAACAAAGAAAAACATTCAATCCAAGCCATACGAAAATGCAGCTTTGATGTGACTCCCACATAATTCACGTCAAAACTCATGAGTCCCGAGCATGTGATTCAAAGAGCATATACTCAAACAGAAAACCCAGAAAAGAGCTGCTGCTATATCATTTATGAATGATAACACATTAAATATTAAAAAAACACCTGTAGCTGTTATTTACTGCAGGATCACATAAAATTGGCATATAGGAAACATAAATGAATTGACTTCTGAAAACATCTTTATGACTTCTGAACACATATTTGGATGTTTCTTCAACTATGGCATTTTAATTTCTCCAGAGATTGATTTTTATTAAAACACATTTAAACTTCTTTTTTCTTGTTTTATACAGTAAGGCCAAATGAAAAACTTTTAAAACTTTTTACCATGCCCTCATTATTTAATTATGCAACTTTAAAAATTAAAATAATCAGATCAAATGGCTCAGAAAAAAATTGAAAATTGAAAATCACTGTAGGAAATTATACATGAATGTGTGTGTTTATTAAATTCAAACTGTAAGAGTACTACAGATGCTATTAGCTAAAAGAATAATTTCTTGACAAAGTGCGCTGAAAAAAAAACTCAATCAGTATTTTTGTCTTAAACCTCCATAAAACAAGAAAAACTACTGAAAACAAGAGTTAATATCTTCACAATTCGGCTTCTCAAGCTATTTAATCTAGTTTTCAGAATTTTCACATATTATAAAACCGGACCAAATACTAAGAAAATGATCTTTTGAAGTGTAAAAAATACTGTAAATGAAACAATTCTCACCTCACTATAATTGGCACCAAGCTATTGTTCCTGATATTTTGTGGAGCAGCTCTAATTAAATCAGTCAGTTTCCCTCCTCTTAAACTGATGAATGTGTCACAAGCCAAACGAGAGAATGAACCCAAATGCTTGCTCCCTGTCTTTTTTTTTTACATGGCTAATCTATAAAAGGAATTTCACGAGGACTCTGACAGGTTGAGACATGAGATAAACACTGTCATATTGGCCATGTCAGGTGAGCTGCATATGCACGACTAATCTGACAGGGTGGAAGTAAAATGAATTTTCTAACTTGACATCAAGAGCAATCTCATTCAAAGATGACAGTCCATCCAGCCCCTCTGCCTTTAGTGCCAACAATTTATAGACATGAATCATCTCCTTATCAGGTTATTTAAATGTCAGGTGATTGCCAAGACCGCTGCTACTGATGTAATATGGACTGCATTTTAGTCATTTGAAATAAGCTTAAAATTTTTGAACAATGTCGACTGCAAATATGACAGTACAACAATGATTGATAAAGCACTTCCCTTTCAAATGGTGACAATATTTCACATCTCTAGTGAGTCATCATGAGCACAATATACAGTATATACAATATACATATATCATCACATGCATTTGCAGAGGGGGTAAAAACTATTGCTGATGACTCATTTTATTCCATTTATAAAGAAAAAGCATTATGCAAACTCAAACTTTAACCACATATACTGATCTGTAATATTATATTATATTGCAATTCTATTAGAAGTTTGAATGAAAATTTGAGAAATGCAAAATACAAGCATTTTTACCTGTCTCATACCTGTGGATCAAAATTTCACCCAGCCACAGAAAAATTAATTAATGTTAATGTAAAAAGAAGAGGAAATATTCCAGGGTATTATTCAAATAATAATTTGTGACATTGAGCATGCAAACTTTGTCAAATCCAATCTAATAAATATGATAGAATTATAGTATTTATTATATAGTGTGGGTAGGGCCGATCTTGTGGTTCTACTAGTACAACAGACAGTATTATTAGAACCACAAGATGGGCCCCGCCCACAATTGGTTACATCATCCCATACATTTGCATGGGTGAGGGTAAAAAATAGCCTTTTCACCTTCTGTTAACATACTGTTAAAAAATACTGCTTGATTTCTGCTGTTTTGAATAAAAAAAAGGTCACTCTTGAACTGACAAGCTCTAATCTCATTGACTTACTTTATCCGACTTGCTGAAGTAAGGGCGCGCAGGACTTTTAATCAATCCGCCCGGAAACAAATTAGTGTTTACAAGGTACCAGATTAACAATGAGTGCTTTTGGACATATGGTTAATATGTATAGCCAATTATTACGTCAATCAGTTGATTAAAATCCTGAATTCTCAAGTACAACAGAGATTCTCAAGTACAACAGAGACTTAATGGCTGGTTTAATAGAACAAAACGGTCCGTTTACAATATATTCTTGTTTTCCAATAATGAAACTACTTAAAATTTTAATACATTTTAATTAATGTAAATCTAATTCACTCTATTACAGGTAAAAATCCCCAAATACTCATTCATTTGGAGTTCGGGCCAGCCAAGGGACCATATTTGTTTAGTACAAAGTAATTGAAGAGCATCATCCAGCAGGGTTTGCCAATTAGCTAATGGAATCAGCCGTCATAACTTTAAATTCAGCCCACAGCACATATCCTGGTGTGAATGATTTCACCTAGAGACATTTGCTATGTCATTAACATGTCCTGAGAGAGGACTTCATTACTGGATAAAGAGGTACAGTCGACGGTCCGGCATTTTAATTTAGCACTGAGGCTTACAGTTATATTCACAGTCTCATAACTCAGTTTGTGTAATCCGCAGTGAGCGATGCTGGGAAGCCAATTATTCATTAACACACACTGACAGAGTGTTAGTTATTGAGTCAAACTTTCTGCATCGTTTGGATGTGATTGCTATTCAGTAGCCACAAATGCGAACAGCAAATATAACATGAATGTCATGTCAAAATTAATCACTTGTGTCTCAAATCAAATTGAAAATATTATTTTTTACATACGCTGTGTGTATTTATATACAGCTGTTCACCATAATCTTGGCGCAAGCAATGAGCAGGTAGCCATAGAAACATATAATTTATGACGAATATGTCACTGGTTTGAAATTAGCACAGATAATAAAGTCTGTGTGCAAGGTTTCAGCTAGAAATGTTTGAAGACCTGATGAGGTTTCCATGGTAAATTGTATTTGATATATTTCTGGAGCAAAATGAAAATGGAAAGCCTAAAAAATATGGGCACATCTCATCTACAAGAATATAAATGGAAAAAAATGCATTACCGAAACTCTTTTTTAAAAATCACAAATACTGACCTGTAAGTGACATAACACTTTGAACATTTAGCTACTGAAAAGCAGTTTTCAAATGGCTTTTCCCTTTAAAATATCCAGCGTTTACATCCATTAGTTATACCTGCTATTGAAATATGCACTACCGTTTTCTTTTTTTTAAGAAATTAATACTTTTAGTCAGCGAAGATGCATTAAAGTCAGTAAAGGGACAGTAAAGACATTTATAATGCTACAAAAATGTTCTATTACAAATTAATGCTGGTCTCTTGAACTTTGTGGAAAAAAGATTTCCACACAAATATTAAGCAGCAGAACTGCTTTTAACATTTATAACAATAATACCAGAATATTAGATACCAGCATATTAGAATGATTTCTGAAGGATAATGTGACACTGAAGACTGGAGTAATAAATGCTTTGCATCACAGGAATAAATTACATGTTAAAATATATTAAAACAGAAAACAGTCATTTTAAATTATACATATTTGACAATATTTACTGTATTTTTGATCAAATAAATGCAGCCTTGGTAAGAATAAGAGACTTTCAAAAACATCCTGACACCAGATTCAACTTTTGAACAGTAGTGTAGTATATGATGAAATATTTGTGATTTACATGCTCACAAAAATGATATTTTGTAAGAATACCAAACAATTGAATGGCCATTAAACGAGAAAGGTACTTTTTGCTCCATAATTGTATATTTCCAGCCAATGTAGTCTAGCTGCAGGGGTTAACAGGGCCGGCCAAACCTCGACCCCTTGTTTATACGCAGATGGTATTAGGGGAAGAGGATATTCTCAGACTGCATCTTAATAGACAAAAATTAGTATGTGTCCCTGTGTGCAAGGTGAGTCATCTATAAAGACCATTTTAAATGTGTACATATCCAAATGTGTACATATCCTAAAAATTCATTTTAGCAT